AGCCCTACATTATAAGCAGTACGATAGTATTGTTTCTGATGTTTAGACTGTATGTGTTTGAAGTTTACCAGAAGTCTGTATACACTGTATAAAAGGTAAATAAAGTTTTTTCTCATTGTCTGACATTAAATGTGACTAAACTCTTCCTGTTTTAGCTCAGTTAGGATTACCAAAATTATTTCTGTGGGCAAACAGCCAAACAGGCTGTGGAGGATTTCCCTGCAAACTCACATCACTGCATTATATTGGACTGTAGTCACATGAGCTGCTTTGCTTCATGATACACTGTCTGCTTATGGCTCTGTTCCCCTGATGAGCTGATGAAGGTGTGTTCTCATCAGCAGACATACCTCTTGTGCAGATGTGCTCATTTGGCAACATCTGGTGGCAGAAGCTGCTTATTGCACTAAAAGGAAATCAGGGAGGATCATGAGTCTGCAGCAGAGGAGGCTGTGTTTTCAGGACCACATTTCTAGGAGCCTTGTTTCCCTTTTCTCAGGCCAAGCAGCACAATTTTTCCAGCTAACAGATACTAAAAAGACTCACTAAGGTTTGGGTGGAAAAAAGCTTTCAAATGGAAAGTACTTGGATAGAGAGAAGTATTTTTTGGTAAACTAAACTTTTAAAACGATATACTTGTACAGAAGTTTTGGGTGAACTAAACCTTTAACAACTAAAATTCAGTCATTACAAAGTTGTGTTGTGAGTGGATTAAACTTCTGAAACCATATTTTAAGTGTTAGAAAGCACTTTTTGGGTGGACTAAACCTTTAAAACTGCAACTTACACTAGTATTTTTTGTGAAATAAAGTACTTTTAAAGTACTTTCAAAACAAGAAGTAATATTTTTTTGTGAACTAAACCTTCAAAACAATAACTTGATTGCAAAAACAAAATCTATTTTTGGTGAAATGAGTCTTTAAAACTATAACTTGTTTGATAGAAAATAGTATTATGGGTGAATAAACTATTAATATAATACGTTCTAGGGCAGAAAGCAGTATTTTTGCTTAGACTAAACCTTTAAAGCAATAACTTGATTGCTAGAAACTAGTATTTTAACGTCAAATAAACCTTTAAAACAAGAACTTCTTTCTTAGAAAATTGTATTTTGGGTGGATTTAACCTTTTAAAACCAGAACTTGTTTAGTTGAAAGGTGTAGTTTGGGTGAGATAACCTTTAAAAATGATATATTTGGACCAAGAGTAGTATTTTGGGTGGAGTTAACCTTTAACACCAGGAAGCTCATGTCGCTGCACTGATGCTTCTTGGCTTAAATGTGAAGGTATGAGGATGAGACGACTGTTTGTCACATAAACACCGACACCAGCAGCGTCT